CCCCTCAACTGCCCACTTCACATTTGCCTTTTGCCTCCAAAAAATTTTCTCAATCTTTAAAGCCCTCTCCAATTCTTCTTTGGCATTCAGCATTGCCTGATTATTGAGTTTAGAAGCTTCTCTTTCATATTTTGTCTCTTTACAAACTAACTGTGCCTCAAGCCTTTTCATATTGTCAAAGACATTACCAAATGTGTCCTTATTCCACCTCAAAATACCTTTTAAAAACTTTAACTTAAGAAATAAATTTTCAATTGGATCTGAAGAATAATGGCCAGACCAGTTCCTTTCCACTAGCTTCAGAAAATCCCTATGCTCAATCCACATATTTTGAAATTTAAAGTATGAAATTCTTTGTACAAAAATAGTCTCTTCAAACTTCACTATAAGTGGGCAATGGTCAGACTGACCCATACCAACATGCTCAACAGACATTGTAGATAGCCTTTCCCCTATTCTACATTCACCAAGGCTCTGTCTAATTGTTGCCACATCCTAGTCCTTCCTTGGTGTTTGTTTCACCAGGTAAAAGTTGAACCAACATAACCGCAATCTTGCAAGGCCAATGAGTTTATAATAGAAGCAAACTCATTCATAATAGATAAACTATGAATATATCCTCCTTTCATCTCCTCCGAAGAAACGATGGTATTAAAATCTCCCACCACCATCCATGGCTTAGAAACAATAGATAAATCAGCTAGATAAATCCACAGAGCCCTTCTCTGAATATGTTTGCATTTAGCATAGACAAAAGTTATGTAAAAAGGTTCTGATCCCAAGTAAGAAACCTCCACTGTGAGAGCTTGTTCATGAGGAGATACTATACTCACCTTTACTCTGTGATCCCACAACACCCACATGTGTGTACCAGCTAATGGATCAGCTAATTAAGATGAAAAACACATATTCGTATAGCTGATATAATTTTGAAGTCTTTAACTTTGGTTCTAACACCACAACCAAACTGACATCATGCATGTTAATTAATTGCCTCAACCTCAGCCTAAAGGCCTCTTGGTTTGCTCCCTTCACATTCCAAATGATTGCACTAACCATTTAATTAACTGAGTAGGGAACTTTTCTAGACCTCGATTTAGTAATAACTCCTAACCTGGGCAGATCCTGCAGGTTGCATTCCACATCAGTATTTTCTACTTCATCAGACCCTTGCGAATGTACTTCCACACAAACTGTACTTCTTAAAAATTCCCCATCTGAATAATAACCATTATTTGGGGGCTCCTTTTGTATTTGCAAACCTCTATCATCATCCTTAGTTATAGTAGGGGCTTCCATACAAACTTAATTGTGCTCTATCAAAAAATTGGAGTCCACAACATCAAGATATTATTTATTTAGGTAGCATTGACCCTCATCACCAAGTGTATTACACATACTACTTTTATGTATTCCTGCAACATGAGTATACTCATCATGCACTATTAAACCTTCATTTGTAGGGAGTGAACAAGCTCTACTGTTCTGGATGCCATTAACCTCCTGATTAACCCAAGTAATATTAACATTAGCATCCTGCTCACCTTGCTCGTCTTTTGCAATGACAATGTTCTCTGCATGGACAAAAGGATTCTCTGCATCTTGGGCGTATTCAATTTCCTTAGATAGTGTAGATTTTCCCATATCCCCCAAATTATCTTTTCCCGAATGTTGTCCGCTTTCCATAATTATAATTGAATCGTCATTCCCTATATTCCTTATTTCTTGGCCAATATATGCTACTATACTAATTTTATTTATTGTTACCTTATCTGTATTGTGGACTTGATTATTCTTTTGCTATTTTTTCCAAATTCCTTTCGTCTGTTGAGTTGGATACATCTGTTTTGGAAGTTGTTGTAATGGAACTTGACCTGGAGTTACCTTATGTGAATTTTGGATTTGTTGAATCCCCTTCCCCTTATTTTTTCTCTCCAGTTACCTTACCTACAATTATTCTTTCCAAATCCTACTTATGTCCTTGTGTATCGTCCATAGTGGGAATCACTTTCCTTTTTCTGCATGCATCCTCACCGTGGCCCTGTTTCTTACAGCTTTTGCAGAAAAGCTTGACTCTTGCTTGCCAAAATTCCTTGTAGTTTCCTAACTTCTAAACATCACCTTTTAGCATGTATAGTTTATGGACGAAGGGGAGTGTCACTCTCCTATGGGTGATGTCAAAAGAAAGGGCAAGGAGATGGTAGATGGAATGGAATACAATGAACAAAATATGTGTGTGGAATGAAATGTGTATGTGAACAAAAGTGCTCCCCAAGCACAAGAAGTCTTTTGAGTGTCGTGTTTTACTTGGAAAAGTATTCCAAGGTCGTCTCCTCAGGGAAGGAAGGGAATTCTATTGAGGGTGATTTTGTTGAAAAAGGAAAAAAAATGTAAAATCTTGTAGTTGGTTTTGGTGAGTTTTGTTCTTAATGAAATACAAGAAAAATAAGTGTTGGCTAATCCAAAGATGTCATTCCAATTGGAATCCCAACTCGACTCGAAACTTTCCTCCCATGGTGCATAGATGAATGATTGATTCGTGGGAAGTTAAGGACGAGATGGTGAGGATCCAAGCATAAACCGTGACTAGGCCTACGGGATATCAAAGACTCACAACCACATCCATTCTCAACCTAGTCAAACTGAACCATCGTACACCGAGATGAGGAAAGAAAATGAGTTGAAATGGTATTTATAAGAGGAATTTTCCCTTGGATTAGCCAACTTAAATCTAACTACTCATGATATAATGAAAGACAAACATAATGTAAATGGACCTAATGAAGAAATGAAGCATCAAACTTGAACTAATACAAGAAAACTTAAACTAAGAAGAAAAATATTCAATACCCATTTTAAAGCATGGAAATGAAGAAAACTTAAAACAACAATGGTGAAATCAAAAACATGTAACTAAACTTGGAATAGACTTGAAGTAAATGGCATTAAGGTGCAAGAGTTAAAGATTACAAGAGATTAAAAGCTTACTACAACTGGAATGGAGAGGAAAATGCAAAAACATAAGCTTTCTAATCACTATTCATCATCTTCTACATTGAACTACTCCTAGCTTAGGTAGCCACACCCTTTGAAATGCTGAAGAATGCTTAGTATATGGAGTGTGAGAGCCTTTAATTTTCGTGCATGGTGGTCCCCCCAAGGTGTGTGCAGGCCTCCCATCAATAGGGGGCTGAATGGATGGGTATGGCAGGCTCAGCCTGCACTCCCCAAGTTTCACCCCTTCTTTCTCTCCTCATTGAATGCCAAGTCTCAAAAGTCTCCATCAAGGGTGTAGGAGGCATGAAGATGTGCAAACAATGTTGGGGGCAAGTGTGAGAAGTGTAGGTGGGACCTCCAAGCAAGTAGAGCATGAAAAATAGGCGTTTGGGCTGCTTTAGGAGAGCGTACCGGTACCCCGAACACCAATGGCTGAACCGTACTGGCACGCAGTACCAGTACTCTTCTGGTCTAGACCAGTTTTTGTAGAATTGGCATAAATTTTGATCCGACCATTGGATTGAGCTGTAATATTGACACAATACAGAAAACATCCAGATCTACAACTTTCATTTTTTGAACTTGTTCAGATTCGAAGTGGATCATGGTTCAAAATGGGGAAAACAGCGGTACTGTGTCAAAACCTTGGGAAACCAGTGGGCTAAACCTTCCAAAATCCATTTCTCTTGGTTTCTTCACCTTCCAAGCCTCCCAATCCTCATTTAATGTGTCCATGCCTTCAACACACATCCATACTAGGTTGCAAGGTTCTAAAATACATGATTTACACTATAATTACCTGCAACATCAAAAATATCAACATTATTCATAATTTTGGCTAACTCTAAGTACTTAAATGCAAAAGTTGAGTTAAAATGCATGTAATGAGGCCTTCAAATATGAAATATTTTTCACTCATCAACTCTCTCATAGATTATTTTCTGCCAAGGAGCTCCTTCCTCCCCCATGTCAATCCAAATCTTGCTTCAATTGTTAAGTAATAGATTCACCTCTATGTATACCCTTGCCACACCTTCTTTGGACAGAGAGAGTGTTGCCTGGTTATAGGCCAAAACTCTTCCTATGGGTTTTACCAAAATTTCAAGGTAAGGTTTATTGAAGAAGTTCAAAGGCAATCCAGACAGTGATATCCAAAGAAGTACAATTGAAGGTTCTATGCCCAGAACAAACCCTAAAAACCATTTGAAAAATCTGAAAAGGTAATCCTCTATCAAAGTAGCATCTTTCAGCCAAGTTTTCACATAATCTTCATGCAATTCAAACCTTAGAAGCACATGTCTTTGATTAATTGATCCCACTTCAAAAGAACCTTTTAAACTCCACTTTGATATGATAACTTCTTTAATGACTCCTAGAGAAGGTCTTCCATAAGAACACTTACCAATCAAGGCATATTGTAAAGATTTACTTGACTCCTTTATTTCTTCATTGGTGAAATAAAAGGCTAGCTCACCCTCATAAAAGACTATAGGCTTGTCAATCTTTAGTTGTATTGGTTCATTGGTAAGATGTTGTGTATGATTTTTTAATAGTGAAACAAAAAATTGAGAAGTATTGGTGGATAAATCTGGAGGTTTTGGTGGGATTTGGTGTTGCTTAGGTGATGAACTCATGAAAGGAAAAATTTTAGAGAGAAGACTGAGGTTCTCTCTCTAGAATTCTGAAAAACTTTTTGAAACCCTAAACACTGTAAACCCTAAGCCCTAAGCCCTAAAACCTAAACCCTAAACCCTAAACCCTAAAACCATAAAACCTTATTCTTAATCAAACTCACTAGAAAAGTACCTCATCTTGGAAAGTGTTATAAGCTTTTCAAGTTTGGCATCAGTAGCAATCACTTGGGAAGTGGAGAGGAAAATGATTTGAGCATTATCTCCACTTTGACCAATGCCACCAATTTAACAGTTTTGGCTATGAATATAAAAAATTTCGGAAGGGTGTTGCATGAATCCATTGGAAACCTCTCAACTCAACTTGTATAGATGTTTCTAGATGAAAATCAAATATCTGGAAGCATCCTTGGTGTGATAGCCAATCTTTCCAGCTTGGAACTACTTCACATGTCGAACAACCAATTCACAGTTCACATTCCCCCCGACATTGGAAAGTTTCAAAGCCTACAAGAGTTGAAGTTATCGAGCAATCAATTATTCGGGAATGTTCCATCATTTTTAGGAAATCTAACTGCTTTAACACAACTCCGTTTAGATAGAAACAATATTCAAGGAAACATCCCTTCAAGTTTGGTGGATTGCCAAAACTTGATAGCACTTGATCTTTCGTGGAATAGCCTCAATGGCACAATACCTCATCAGGTTTTTGATATCTCTTCGCTATCCATATTTTTGGATTTATCTTACAACCAATTGATTGGTTCACTAGCCATTGAAGTTGGAAACCTTAAACATTTAGGTTTTTTAAGTGTTTCTGAATACATGTTATCTGGTAAAATTCCTAACAACCTTAATAGTTGCCAAAGTGTGGAAGTCCTATCTATGGATGACAAATTTTTTTAGGGGACCATTTCTATGTCTTTTAGTTCTTTGGAAGGGATTCAACAATTAGATCTTTCGCGCAACAGTCTATTTGGAAAAATTCCAAAATACTTTGCTAGCTTTGACTTGAAATATTTGAATCTTTCATTTAATGATTTTGAGGGTCTAGTACCTAAACAAGGCATCTTTGTGGGGGTATTCCAGAATTTTAACTTCCAAAATGCAAATCCAAACGTTCTAAAAACATCTTCTCGACTTTTACCGTTAAACTTTCAATAGCTATAGTTTTTGTGCTTCTGGGACTAACTCTTGCACTGGGTTTTCTATTCATCCGTCGATTTAGAAAAACCAACAAAAACTTTCTTCAGATTTAGAAGGAAACTCACTCTTGAAAGTGTCTTATCAAAGTCTCCTTCAAGCGACTGATGGGTTCTCTACAACCAATTGGATTGGTATGGGTAGCTTCGTGTCTGTGTATAAAGGAATTCTTGATCCTGATGGAACTATTATTGTTGTGAAGGTATTTAACCTATCACATCATGAAGCTTCCAAGAGTTTCATAGCAGAGTGTGAGACGTTGAGGAGTATTAGACATCAAAATCTTGTGAAAGTGTTAACTGCATGTTCGAGCGTTGATTATCAGGGCAACGATTTTAAAGCTTTGGTTTATGAATTCATGGAAAATGGTAGTGTAGAGCGATATCTACATCCTAATCAAATTGAAGATTTGAAGTTAAACCTTCTTCAGAGAGTAAACATTGGCATTACTGTTGCTTATGCACTGGATTATCTTCACCATGGTATCCTTGCACCAATAGTTCATCGTGATATAAAGCCAAGCAATGTTCTTCTGGACAAAGAGTTGGTTGGTTAAGCAGGTGATTTTGGTATAGCAAGATTCCTTCCAACACCCACCACCCAAAAATGTGTCAATAAGTTTAGCAAGTTCTACTGGTGCAAGAGGATTGACTAGTTATGTTACCCCAGGTAATAAATAAGCTTTACTTTACAATGTTGTCTAATATATATATATATATATATATATATGCAAGTGTGCCGCTTCAAACTATATGTATGCATGAGTACTGTTATAGCTAGGTTTAACTTTAAAAGAAACTTTAGCTCAAAAATCATTTCATTTCCTAATTGATTAATTAGTTTTGTGTTAAATGTTGGACAATATATATATGATGAATTGTACTTTGCATACTGAAAAATTTAAGAATTTTTACTTTGCACCCTCAAAGATTATATTTCTCACATTGCATTATCAATATATTAAAATGTTGCAATGTGGCTCTTATGTTAGTTTCGGCTACTCATTCAGCCAACTTCAATAGAATAAGTAACAGAAGGTAACGGGAGGGTCCTAATAATTTTTTTAATATATTGAGTATCCAATGTGAGAAAGCTCATCTTTCAAGGTGAAAAGTGAAAAAGTTTAAATCTTTTAGCGAGTGAGATCCGCTCCAATATATATAATGTTTTAGCTGATTTACAAAGGGTCTTCGGGCACAGGGTTATTATTAGTAAGATGATAAAACTTTTCACTCACCACTTTGTAATTGCCAAAAAAAAAAAAAGATACCAAAAGATTATTTTCTAGTATCGCAGACTAAGCCTCTTATTTACTTAGCTTCATTATTCCCCTCTATTCATTTGTTGAAGCATTAACACATTCTCTAAACGAATTTATTTACAAACTTAAGTTTTGAATTTCATTGGTTATGCACAATTAATCTAGAGTATGGGATGGGAAATGTTGCATCGACATGGGGCGATGTCTGTAGCTTTGGAATCCTTCTGTTGGAAATGTTCACAGGAAAAAGGCTTACTAACGACATGTTTAGAGATGGATTGAACCTTCATCACTAAGTTATGCAGCTTTACCTAACTGGGTAGCGCAGATTATGGATGCAATACTTGTTCAGGAGTTGAAGGAAGAGGAAGAGATCACAAGTAGTGTCAATGAAAACTACTAGTACTAGAAGACATCAATGTCTTAGTTGTAGAATCCAAAAGGATCATCACAAGTGGTTAATTTCGGTGTTTGGAGTTGGTGTTGCTTGTTCAAAACACTTCGTAGGAGAACAAATGAATATTAGTGATGCTATATCTGAGTTGTACTCCATCAAGGATTTTATTCTTTGATCTTGAATATGCAAGGATAGCAAGTTAGTTGATTCTCAACAACAAGTCTACATAATTACATGTGTGTGTACACACAGACTACAATATATAAGTTCTGGTTTGAGTCAAGGAATTTGTCTCTTCAGGTGCATACATCTACCCTTCTTTTGTGGTTTCTGAAAGAAAAATTATATATATGGTCAAGGAATCGGTCATTTCCTAGGTTACTATTACTATTATATTTATATGACCTATAGAATAAAAAGGTTAAATTTATACACTTAACAGGGTCAATTTAAGAATGATAACAAAAATTTAAGATGTACAATTTTTTGGGTCTCATTGAGTTGTAACTTGAAGTTTTTGTGCCCCAACTTGTGCCTAATTTTATTTTTATTACCAAATTTGCACGGTAGATTTTTCCTAATTTTAACTGTTTGAACTTTTCTTTTGAAGATGACAAGGAGGCCTCTAGTGAACCTACTACATATTACTATTATTTTGCATAGTGCTCGTGTACTTCAGGTTTAGTTATAATGCTACCTACTTTCGAAAGTGTATAGTGATATGTGTATATTATGTAAATAATGAAGGGAAATAAATATCGAAAGATTCATTCGTGTACTGCAGGTTTAGTTATAATGCTACCTACTTTCGAAAGTGTATAGTGATCTGTGTATATTATGTAAAGAATGAAGATAAATAAATATCAAAAGATTCATTCCTGCCTCGATCCATCCGATGAAGCAGCAGGGATTGATGAATCAGATAAGCCTCTATCAATCCTGGTGGTGGGGATAGTAGGCTCTACGACCCATTCGTATCCCGTGAATTGGAGATACTTAGTAGATTGATGGATACTTGTGGTACCAGATATGGCGGAAGGAATCAATGAATGCAAAGGAAAGAATTGGTATTCTTAAGAGCATCTCTAGCAGATGATCCAAAACACACAAAATCTTCAAATTTTAGGTATTTAGCCCAAAATTTTCAGTCGAACAGGTTATCTTCAAAAACTCTAAAATAACATTTTGTTATAGTGATACTCTATATTTAGAGTATCCCTATAGCGATATGTAAAACTTTTTATAATTTTTTTTCTCTATTCCTCTCCTTTCTTCCATTCTCTCTATTTCTCCCTTTTACTATTCCAAAAAAAAAATAATACAAAAAGAATGAAAAATAATATTTAAAAGAAGTAGTTAAAAATATAGAAAATTTGTTAGAGTGTGTATTGAAAAAGTGAGTAGCTAAAATAAAAAATATTATTTTTTGAATAATTAAAACAGTTTTTGTTATTGGAGATGCTCTAAGAAAGCTCATTGTACCAGCCAATACGGTATGGATAAAGTCCACCTCACTTAGGATATTTCTCAGGAGATGGGAAATCATCCGACAATTGCTTACTACTTCATTTATTTGTCAGTTTACTACTTCCACCTGGACCTTCAATTGCTTTATCGTATTATATCAAAAAAATGAATTATCATTTACTATTTTTTTAATTTATAGTTACAAATTATCCAATTTAAAATAATGGCTAAAACGGATGAAGGTACAATCCGAAAGACTCTCGTTCACATACCTATTGAAATTTCTACACTTGCTGCATCAGAAAGGTGCTGCTCCAACAGCCAATAATATGGCAATCAATCTCTCATATCTAAAGCCTTGAAAGAATGTAAAATCTCCAAAACTATAGCAATCTATCATATCTCTACGATGAAATTCACTACATCTATATTCCGATCCTCAAAGGCTATCCAGTAAGCAAAAATAGGGCACAAAAACAAGTAGCAATATCCATCCCAGGTATTGTCAATTGTGGTATTGCTATGCCAAGATGCTCCCATAGTTCCATAGAAAGATAAGAACCGCCAGCCAGTGATTGGGAGCAGTTAATAGAGGAAAACCTGGCATTCCAACTGCATTCAAATACTAATTCTATTAAAACATCTTATCGAACTTATTTTCCAGATTTGTACTACCACAAAAAAACCACACTGCATTGACCAATGATTCCCTTGGTTCTAAGCCACCTCCCTTCATCACATAAAGTACCTTAACAACCTCAATGCAACTTGCATGTTGTATGTAAGCGTTAAGCATTGCATTCCAACATGCAGCATTTTTCTTTACACCATTCATCTCAAACACCCTTCTAGCATTTCTAACTAACCCAAATTTCCCATACATGTCAACCAATCCACATTGCACATAACTTTTCAAATTAACCCCTAATTTTATCGCTTTGGCATGGACTTGCCGACCATAGTATCCATCATCCGTCAACTTTCTACAGGCCTTGAGAACACTAGAAAACGTAAAGCTATTCATCTTCACTCCCCCCCATCTCCTTAAACACACCAATAACTTCATCAAAACGCTCTTCCTTACAATATTTGGCAACGTGAGCTGTCCAAAAACAAAGTGAGCACCTTCTAAGCATCCCGATTTCCCATAAAAGATAACCAAGGAACTGCTCAAAAACAGATCATTGGAATAGCCTGCCTTCATTATCCAACCATGTATATTGCAAAATTATATTTCATAATTCAAAGTAAATGTTTAAGGGAAATTGACCGAAATAAAAACAAATAATCTAAACGGTGACTACTTGACTTATACATTCACTGCCTTGCCTCGAGCTACTGGTAGTATTTCTTTAAATGCTCTGCGTTCCATGGATGGGCTAGGACTTTTTTCTCAAAATTCTGGATTCTATAAGTACCTGGTCTTACAACTTCCGTGACCATGTAGGGTCCTTCCTAATTGGGTCCCAATATTCCTTCCCAGGAGTCTTTGGTAGACAGGATGACCATTTTGAGGACTAGGTCCCTAGGCATGAACGTGCGAGGCCTCACCCTCGAGTTGTATTGCTTAGTCATGTGACACTTGTACTCTGCATTCCTTAGCATAGCTATCTCCCTCACCTTCTCTACCAAGTCGAGGTTGATGCGGAGGCTTTCATCGTTACTGGTAGGGTCATAGTGCTGGACCCTAAGGGAGTGAACCCCAATCTCGATGGGTTTAATCGTCTCTGTCCCATAGGCTAAGAAAAAAAGGGTCTCGCATATGGGGCTCCTTGGTGTCTTCTGGTAAGCCCACAACACTCCTGGGAGTTCATCTACCCATCGTCCTTTTGCACTTTCTAGCCTGGTTTTCAAATTGCGGAGGATGGTTCTGACGGTAACCTTTGCTTGCCCATTTGCCTGTGGATGGGTGGGGCTGGAGTGGGGCTGCTTGATCTGTAGGTCGGCACAGAAGCTATTAAGGAGTTTGTTGTCAAACTGTTTGACATTTTCACTCACAATGGCATGGGGTATTTCGAAGCAACAGACTATACTCCTCCATGTGAAGTCTTTTACCTTCTGATTTGTTATCCTAACTGATTAACCCTAGTTAGTGTGTAAATTAGAGTAGTCAAATAAATCAAATTAATAAAATAAAACAACAGAAAATCAGTAATTAGTATGAATTAGGGTTTGTACGGTAATTAGTGTTTTTAACAGTTTATATTCAAAATTGCAGGTTTAATACAGAATTACTACAGAATACAAGGTGTCAAGTAGGGAAGCTTGAAAATACAAAGGCTAAAGTATAATTAAATCAAATGAAGAGTCAGCATGCATGCAAGTTGCAAATTCCAGCAAAGCACCACCGTCCGGATGGTGGTGATGATGTTCGGACGGTCACCCTTGATGATTATCCTGACTTCTTCCACCTCATGCTTCCTAAACGACTATAAATAGGCACCTTCTTCACTTCAAAATGAGGCTGGACAACTGAGAGCTCCTGAGAGAAAAGAGAAAAAGAAAGAAAGAAAAGAGAAAGAGAATCAGCAACACGATCCAGTCCAAACTCTGTATTTTATTTTTTGTAACTTTCTATTTGGATAATTGAACTGCTGCCACTTTTTTTGTCTTACGTGATAATAAAATGTGGTTGTGTTTCAGTTGTTCTCTGTGAAAGAAGTTTTTACTTTAATTTTAGTTGTAATGACAACTGCCCGCACTCCTTGCTTGTCTGTAGCAATGGAGCGTGAGTAGTCGTTTATACCCTCCAGTGCGAGGAGAACATATGTATCATATTGGCTAGATTATGGAAATGCTGATGTTTTATTTATACATTTATTTATATATGTATTATATGCTTAATGCGTGATATAGTGATGTGTATAATTCCGGTGCTGTGCCTTGGATTATATCATCAGTATATCATAAGACCTGCTGGTTAAACAACCACGACGTTTTTATCGGTATGACTTTTCCTCCACCGAAATGCTGAGGAAGTTGACTGATGTGTGGTACAAACCTAAATGATCCTCATGAATGACTTGTCCTTCTGGGTTATTAGGGTTGATTATTATTATATATAATTATTATGGCAGTCTAACAACCACGATGTTCCTATCGGTATGACTTTGCTTCCACCGGAACGTTGAGGATGTTTAACTGGCACATCTATATCCAGTGTAGCCTAAGAAGCAGCTGTGTTATAATATATTACCACCAGTGTAGCCTAAGTGACTGTGTTATGGTTTATATATATGCACTTGCAATCATGAGATCAAATGAATAACTCAAGTATTCCTCATGAATGACTTGTCCTTCTGGTTTGCTTGGGTTAATCAGTTGACATAGATATAACCGGTGTAGCCTAAGAAGCAGCTGTGTTATAATATATTACCACCAGTGTAGCCTAAGAAGTAGCTGTGTTATGGTTTATATACATCAGACTTGCCGATTGACTTTCCAGTAACATGAGAGTTAATTGTTGTGAGGTAGCATTTTCAGAATTTAACCAATATAATGCATATGGTATCCTTAAGCTGAATGATATCTTTCATATTTCTGTCATTAATCTGTTTTATTTACGCACTTTATTATCTCTGTACTTTATTTCCGCATTGCTTTTATTTAAATAAACTAGTTATCAATCTAAGCTCACATCACAAGCTATCAAACATCACACTACTTCAAACAACTATTTTACTGTTTTAACTTTTTCTTTTTATTTTCAACAAGAATTACTAAACTCTTTGTGGGATCGATACTTGGACTTAAAACCGAGAAAATTATAATTTGACCACTTATACTTGGGTGTATAATATAATATAATTCATATCACTAAAAAGTGCGAATCAAGTTTTTGTCGCCGTTGCCGGGGAGTTATAGTAATTTGAAAAAATAAATAAAATTAAATAAATAAATAAAAAAAATATTTGTTTATTTGTATTATATGTTTATAGTTTGTTTGCTTGTTTTTAATAGTCTATGTCTGTTCATTCATCCGTAGGTTCTGTAATTAGTCAACTCATACATCATCTTCATCATCATCTACATCTACACCAGAATCCTTTGACTTAAGTATGGCTCAAAACGTACCTAGACAACAAGAAGAGAGAGAACATGAAGTAATTCAAAATGTCCGACCGTTAAGAGAATATCTACATCCTACAAGAACTAATGTCCTGTCATGTTTTGCTTTTCCAACAGACGCTCCAAATATTAATATTAAACCATGAACTATACAACTACTACCACAATTTCATGGTTTAGAAGACGAAAATCCTTATGTTTATATGAAAGAATTTGAAGAAGTCTGTGGAAATTTGCAAGATAATTCTGAAATGGTTAAATTGAAACTTTTTCCTTTCTCATTAAAGGATAAAACTAAACTATGGCTTAACTCATTAAGCGCAAATTCAATCACAAATTGGCAAGCTTTACAAACTGATTTCTTTAAAAAAAAATTTCTTGTGCATCGTACTAATGCATTAAGACGCCAAATCATGAATTTTACTGTCAAAGAAAAAGAAAATTTTTATCAATGTTGGGAAAGATTTAAAGATCTTCTCCAAGCTAGTCCACATCATGCATTTGAAAACTGGACTTTAGTTGGTTTCTTTTATGATGCACTTCCATCTGCAATGAGACAATTTGTTGAAATAATGGCCCAAGGAGAGTTTATGAATAAAAACCTTGAAGAAGCATTTCAATTTTTTGATACTATTTTTGAGAATTCCCAGATGTGGAACTCGACTTCTTCAAACATTGCAGAAAATAAGCCATCTACATCTGAAAGAGAAAAATATATTTTGAAAGACGATGATGATTTAAGAGCTAAAATGGCTAATCTATCTCGAAAACTAGAGGCTTTGGAAATGAAAAAAATTAAGCAAATATCTGTTGTTACCTCTACTAACCAAATATGTGAAATTTGTGTGTTGTCAGGACATCCTGCTGGGGAATGTCCAACTATACCAGCATTCAAAGAAGTTTTAATTGAACAATCAAATGTTGTTCCAACTTATAATAATAATAAGCTTTATTTGAATCCATATTCTGAAACTTACAATCCAGGATGGAGAAATCATCCGAATTTTAGTTGGAGAAATACACAACTTACAAATCAAACACAAGGCCCACCACAGGTACAATATCAACCATATCTACCGCCTCAGAAAAGAACTCTGGAAGACACTATGAATCAATTTATTCAGAGTAAAATGAATTTCAATACTCAAACAAATCAAGCATTCAATGATTTTAAATTTTAAACTTCACAAAGTATTGAAGATATTAAAAGTCATCTTGCTAAATTGACTCAGTCTTTAAGTACTACAGAAAAAGGAAAGTTTCTATCTCAACCTAAACCTCCACAAAGTCAGAATCAGACTAATTCTGTGTCATTTGAAGCCTCTCCAAGTGAAGTACAAGCAGTCACGACATTGAGAAGTGGTAAGGTAATTGATAAAACTATAAGACCTAAGATTCCAAAGAATATATGTAAATCAATTCCTGTTAACAAACCACTTGAATCTGAACCTTCAATTGAAAAACAACCAGAAGAACATGAAAAAGATCCTCCATATCCTATTCCTTTACCTTTTCCTCAAAGAGTCAAGAAACCTTCATCTGAAAAAGATCAATCTGACATTCTTGAGTTATTTAAACAAGTAAAAATTAACCTTCCTTTGTTAGATGCAATAAAACGAGTTCCGATTTATGCTAAGTTTTTAAAAGATCTTTGCACAATTAAAAGAAGAACTAATGTACCAAAGAAAATATTTTCAATTGAACAGGTTAATACTATAATACATCAAGACACACTTCTTAAGTATAAAGATCCGGGTAGTCCTACAGTCTCATGTCTTATTGGAAATTATAGAATTAACCAAGCCCTGCTAGATCTTGGATTCAGTTGTAATTTAATGTCATATTCAGTATATGCACAACTAGGATTAAGTGAATTAAAACCTTTCCATGTTAAACTACAACTAGCAGATAGATCAATAAAAACTCCACGAGGAATTGTAGAAGATGTGATTGTCCAAGTTGATCAATTCTATTTTCCAGCAGACTTTATTGTTATAGACATGGAACCATGTTATCAAGGATGTTCATTTGAATATATACCTATAATTTTAGGTCGACCATTCCTAGCTACATCAAATGCATTGATTAATTGTAGGAATGGAATCATGAAAATATCATTTGGAAACATGACCTTGG